ATTTATATAGTTGTTGGAGTACAGATTTCAGTCATAACCCCTGATTCAGTCATTATACACCTTTAGGAACCAGGCAAAAACATTCCTTTTTAACAAGGCCTTTGGTTGATCACATTGACATCCAACACCCTTTTAGAATGTGGCATTTTTTTTTTAGGGGGTGTTATTGGGTTACTGCTTTTGGTTTGATTTTATATGTTGTGGTCTTGTTTTGAACCACCCTGAGACCTCTGGGTATAGGGCGGTGTATAATAATATTAATATTAATATTAATACCTCTGAAGACCCTTTGGTATCCATTTCCACCTTGAACTTCCAAGTAACATTGAGCTCTGCTGAGGTTTCTCTGAAAATACTAAATACCGTATTTTTCTCCCTATAGGACGCACTTTTTCCCTCCAAAAATGAAGGGGAAATGTGTGTGCATCCTATGGGGCGAATGCAGGCTTTCGCTGAAGCCTGGAGAGCGAGAGGGGTCGGTGCGCACCAACCCCTCTCGCTCTCCAGGCTTCAGGAAGCTATCCGCAAGCCTTGGGAGCTTGGTGGGAGTGCCCGCTGGGCTCCCAAGGCTTGCGGATAGCAGCCTGCATCCCGAAGCCTGGGGCACGCTGTGCAGCGTGCCCCGGGCTTCGGGCAGATATCGGGCAGCCCCACAAGCTCAGGGGACAGCGGGGAGGCGCAGCGTCGCCATCCCACTGTTCCACGACCTGGTTTGGAGGCTGGCAGTGGGGAGAAGCGCGCTTCTCCCCACCACCAGCCCCACAAGCTCGGGGGACAGATATCCGCAAGCCTGGGGAGACCAGCGCGACTTCCCGCCGGGCTTCCTAGGCTTGCGGATAGCAGCCTGTTCTGGGGACTGGGGTCAGGGGAAGCTCGGGCTTCCCCTGCCCCAGCCCTGCGCCTAGGGGGGAAAATAATTTTTTTTCTTTATTTCCCCCCAAAAAACTAGGTGCGCCCTATGGGGCAAAAAATACAGTTTCTGCATTCCGTTTTCTCCTTCTTCTGTGATATTTAACATCTTCCTGGTGCATTCATCTATCTCTGCTCTCCCTATATATTTTATCGGGGTTTTTTGTTTCCCTTGTCATTTACTAACCCCCCCCCTTTCCTGCAAAGAGGTAGGTTAGGCAGAGAGGCAATGTGCCCCAGGGAGCTTCAGGGCAGATGGGGGGGGGGAGTTTAACCCCCTGTCTCCCAGGTCCTTGTCAGACACTCATTCTTCTCAGGCTGGGCTCATTTACTGAATTCATATACTGAATTCACAAGAGGCTCCAACTGTTGTGATTAAACTGCTGCCTCCAACTGCTACCTCCTAAAGCAATCTTAGAAGTATTGTTATTACTCTTACATTTATCTATACCCCACTTTTTATCCTGACACGGACTCTGTCACTTGCTCCTCTCTTCTCCCGGTGGACCAATGGCCTGACTTGGAATAAGGAAGATCACAGTGTCTGGAGATGCAACAGCTTGCATGGAACAAAATGTAGGGAAGGGGATTCAGCTTCTAGGGAGTATTGAAGGAAGGCAGGCGGGTGGGGTCACAGGGTGGCATAATAATTTTTATTTATACCCCGCCCTCCCCAACAAAGACTGGGCTCAGGGCGGCTAACACCAGGTATAAAAACAATTGATTAAAATACAACTTAAAAACCAGATTAAAATACAACATTAAAATGCAGCCTCCTTTCAGTAGAAACTCAAATCACAAACTTTTTGGGGATGAAAACATCAGGTCTTCACCAAGGCCAACTATCCAGACTGGTCCTACGTGGGCCAGAAAAAAGCCAGGGAAGTCCGCAAATAGGAGTTCCATCACAGAAGGAGAAAGGAAAAAGGAAAGAGGGGAAGGGGATCAAGTTGATTCCAAGCCAAAGGCCAGGCGGAACAACTCTGTCTTACAGGCCCTGCGGAAAGAAATCAGATCCTGCAGGGCCCTGGTCTCATGAGGCAGAGCGTTCCAAAATAAGCTCCGCCCCAGCTGCTTGTGTGTGTGTGTGTGTGGGGGGGAGTTGCTACACTACTGCACCCAGGAAAGACGTGGGAGGGGAAATTGGACACACACACCCCCACACTGATTTTTCAGGAATCCTTCTCTAGGTCAACTTCAAGAGTGGCAGATTCCTGGGCAGGACTGAGAAGCCAAGGCAGCCCCTCCAGGCATCCCCAGATGGAGGCATCCCCGAAAAAGGCCATGTTTCCCCCCCCCCAACAATTATCGGCTTGGCTTCTCAGCCCCAGGGATGCTCCCATTCAACCCTCAGACAACCTCTGCCCCCTCTCTTCTCTGGAGTCTCCCCTACACCGAAAACTCCCCCCCCCGGCATGGCACGCCCCCTGCCCTGCTTCAAGGTGGGGGCCCTTGGGGGGGGCTTCAAAGGAGACGGTGCAAGGGAAACCCTGCAGGCGTTGGGTCCCCGCTTTGCAGCTGCATTGCATGGATCAAGCCCTTCGGAGAAGAGCTTTATGGGGAGGGGGGACTCTGGCCCTTGCTTTCCACCCCCATCGCCCCCACCCCGCCCTCGTCCCAGGACAGGAGTTTTTTCAGAGGGGGGGGGACAGAGAGGGGTCTCTATGTCCTTTTCCTCCCCCTTTCCTCCCTCCCCCCCGAATCTTTACCTCTTTCTCCTCTCTCGCCATCCGCGTCCCCCTTTCCGAAATCTCTTGCTTCTCCAAGGGCTCCTTCTGCCCCACTTCCTCCTCCCCCTTCCTGGGAGTAGCCCCTTCCTCTTTTCGCATGGGAGCCGGATGTGACGGCGCTGCCTTCGGCTTCCTCCTCTTTGGGCTCCCTTGCGTGGTTGCCCAACTCCATGCCCACCCCATTGACCAGGGTGGGATGGGGGGGGTTGCAGGAGGAGGGCCGGATCAAGACCCTTTGGGCCCTGAAGGGGAACAGAAACAGACTCCAAACTCTGCAGACGGCATTATTTCCCAGCCGCTGCCTTGACCACCGAGCAGCGAGGGGAGAGATGCTCTTGGGCTGAAAATCTCCTTGCAGGATCCCCAAAATGGACATCTGGTTTCCCACTGGCCTGATCCAGCTACAGGGACCTTCTTGTGTTCTGTGTGTTTGTGTGTAAGAATCCCTGGTCTTCTCTGCCACGAGGACGAATCAGGTGTACATCCACCTCCCTTAATTTTTGGGGTGTGTGTGTGTGTCTTTCCCCACCTGTCCAGCAGCTTCCCTGTCTGCTCTCTCCCCCCTCCCCCAAATCCCCCAATCATTGCATTGCATTAGCCCCATCCCCACCCCCAAAAAACCAACAGGGGGTGGCAGGAGGTGGGAAGGGGCAGGACAGTTGGTCTGGTTAAGGGGAGAAGCCCTGAGGCCGGGAGGGTCGGTATCCAGTAACCCTTTCAATCCCATTGCAGGGTATTGTTGCAGGAATTTATGTACAGGTTTGAGGGGGGGGTTGCCCCTCCAGCAGATATCATACACATGCAGCCCACTACCAAAATCAGCACAATCACTTTTGTGATTTGTCCCCACAAAACATTTCATCACAGTTTCTTCCTATCTATTCAAAGGGCCTCTGCTGCACGATACCAAATGTAAGAATTCACTGATCAATGTATCTCTGCAACTGTAAACTCTGCCCCTTTCTCCCCCACGCGGCATCTATACCTCTTTGTCCTCTAGAGGGGTTCCTTTTGCAAACTTCCAGCGTTCGCGTGGAAACCGGATATGACGGCGCTGCCTTTGGCTTCCTCCTCTTTGAGGAAATTCCAGGAAAAACCCCAACAAAAACAAACCCGTTTTCCGGAAGGGGGTCCACTCCCCCTCCCTCTGGGTCAATGAGCTCCGCTTCCTAGAGAGGCAGGAGGTTTTTTTGGGGGGGGGAATAGAGGCATTGTTGGAAGGGAGGGGTCTCCATGCATATTAACAGAAAAGAAAAGGGCTTGCAGAGGAGAAAAAGGTGCAGTATATTTTTTTTGTTGGGGGGGAAGGAATTGACGTAGGGGGTGGGAGAAGGATTTGTTTCCCCTCCCCTTGAATTTACAAGCAGGGCTACTAGGGAGAGGTTTTTTGGGGGGTGGGGGGCGCGGAATGAGAGAAAAACAGGGAAGGTCAGTAGGGGGTGGGAGGGGGCTGCAAAGTGGGGTTGCCCCCAACAAGGTTTGCATTGCATTATATTCTTTTTTTGGGGGGGGGGGACAAAGACCCTTCGGTGCCTGAGAACCAGGAAAGGGCGCTCGCTCCCCCCGCCAACCAGAATCGGATACTGACCAGTCACAAGGTGACAACCAGACACTCCCCCCCCCAAAAGGTATCTTAGACGCAGCCTCTTAATCCACCCCCTCCCTCCCACCGCTCCTTGCAGTCTCATGGTCAAGCTCCCCTGGGGTGGGGGCGGGTTTTGCTGCAGTGGGAGCTGCCTTGCATGGGGGGGGGGAATTGGGGAGGAGGGTGTCACTGTGCTGCTTTTGTAGCCCCAGAGCTGGAGAACAGAGTCGTCTCCGGATTGGGAGAGAGGGGGGAGATTTCGAATTGGGTGGGGGTGAGAGATGGGCAGTGTCAAGGGAAACCGGCACTTCCTGAGTAAGAGAGAGGCTGATGTGAGAAGGAAGCAAAAGGAAACAAGAATTTGCTTATTAGGAAGGAAGAGGTGGCCCCCGCCCGTCGCCTTTTCAGAAATCATAGATTTCTAGTCTCTGGGAGACTAGGAACAAGAATGGGCACCTTCCAGATGCTCTCAAGCCATTGGCTGGAGGCATTAAGTGGCGCTGTGGGTTAAACCACAGAGCCTAGGGCTTTGCCGATCAGAAGGTCAGTGGTTCGAATCCCCGCAATGGCACCCTGTTGCTCGGTCCCTGCTCCGGCCCACCTAGCAGTTCAAAAGCACGTCAAAGTGCAAGTAGATCAATAGGTACCGCTCCGGCGGGAAGGTAAATGGCGTTTCTATGCACTGCACTACTCTGGTTCGCCAGAAGCGGCTTTGTCATGCTGGCCACATGACCCGGAAAAACTGTCTGAGTGCCACAACCCCAGAGTCAGCCACAACTCCAGAGTCAGCCACGACTGGACCTAATGGTCAGGGGTCCCTTTATCTTTACCTTTGAAGCCTTATTTCTGGATCCTTGAGCCTGAGCTCATTCACCCGCTGAACTCTTGGAACTCGGAGGAGACAAAGATCACCAGGGAACGGACTTCTTCGGAGAAAAGAGTTTTATTGAGATCTGCGCAGAGGCAGCCAGTGGAATATCTTCCAAAGACTGGCGGCCCCTATACTGTGTTCAGCAAGCATTCTTATACCTGGGAGCATACACCCACCTCCCCAATCTCCCCAATCAGCTGGCAAGGTTACAACTTATTGCCTTATATGGCTATATGGCTAGTTAAGCTCCCCTCCCTTTCTTCTATATTTGTTCTTCTTCTCTTGCATTACTGAAGCAGGAAGCAGGAAACAGCCTCTAGCCTACCTAGCTGGAGCAATTGCGCCGTTAGCTTGGGTCCAGATAATATTGAGATTAACCCTTCCCTCTCCCTTCAACCTTTACGTGCAGGAGTTGGTAAAAGGGCAGCTGAGGGACAAGGAATTTGCTAAAAAATAATAAAAATGCATGTTAATTAGAGACAAATCTGTAAAATAACCTGCGGGAGTCAGTGGAAGACAGGAGTGCCTGGCGTGTAATAAATTTGAAAACGAGTTAAAATTAATTGGCAAAAAAACATACCCCCCTTGAAGAACTGACCCAGCAGAGGGCTGGCTGGCGGTCTTTCCTTCTGTTGCTGCTGTTCACATTGCAGACCAGCCAAATGTAGTGCTTAAAGCATGGGGTGGGTGGGGGGGTGTCCTTCAGCCAGGAGGCCACATTCCCTCCTGAGCAGCCTTCCAATTGATGGGTGGGGACTCAAGGGCTGGATTTGACCCCCTGGGTCTGGTTTCCCCACCCCAAAGTTAGGGTGCAGGGCTAAGACAAAAAAGACCCTGTATTTCCTCTGTAGTCACCAGAATGCCCGCCCCCTGAGTGTTGGTTCCTGCTTTCCCCCCTTTAAATTCTCCCTCCCCACCCCCCAAAAAAGTTGCAAATAGCAAACATAAACTGAACTCCCCGTCAAAACACACACACAAATGTGTGTCCTTATGGGAAAACATTGTTCCAAAGTGTCGGGTGCGAATCTGGTGGATGCCAAGGCAGTTGACCGTCTTTAGAGTAAGGGTTGAAAAGTTACCCTGTCACAACGAAATCATCCCCAGTACTTCTTTTTCCCGCAAATGATTCAACTCCTTTTTGTCAGGTGATGGTGTGTTTTTTTGTAGATGACCATAATGTTATTAGTCTAGATTTTCAAGATAGCCTACGAAAGAGAACAAGAATATAACACAGATCAAAAACATAAGAAACAAAAACAATTATCGTAGCAACAGTAAAAATACAAAAAGCAGTAGGTATGAAAATCTGTGGGGTTTTTTGGAAAGTGCAATAGTCCAGATTTTCTGTTTCTGTTGTGATAATTGCAAGTGTTCCAGAGATTTCCCGTTTTGAGCAATGAGTTGTTTAGCCCCTGTTGATGAGTTCTTTATATTTCATATAAGCATTTTCATCTTTAAAAATAGTTAACAATTCCAAAGTTGGGATATGTAGGATTTTTTTGTTTAGGGATCAAGCTTATTTCATAAACATTTCTTTCCCCCACATGTGTAGTTGTTCCAACCCCCTCTCACTCTCTCCTGCAGAGATGGTTATAGCTTTGTTCCTATAGCTACACCTCAGGGGTGCTAGAAGCAGCAGTGTAGGCGTTTAAAGAGGGGATTTATTTTATGTGTCCGTATAGTGACTTCAAGGGGTCTAGTTACAGGCAGGTAGCTGTGTTGGTCTGCCGTAGTCGAAACAAAATTCCAGTAGCACCTTAGATACCAATAACAAACTTAGTTGGTCTCTAAGGTGCTACTGGAAGGAATTTTTTTATTTCAAAGGGTCTGTTATCCCACAGTCTCTGCCCGCTGTCCCTACGTATGTTCCACCAAGTTGGTTTCACCTTAATGAATACCACCAACAGCTTTAATACATTTTTGATAATACGTGTTTGGATTTTGCATTTGTATTTGCAATTAGAATTTCAGCCGAAGTTTAAAGAGGCATGTGCAGTAACTGCTGGGTTTGTTAGAACAATGTGTGATTTGATGCACGTTTAGCAAATTCCAGATGTTGCCTAGCTTTACTTAGCATTTGTTCCCCAGTCAAAGGTATGCTATCTGTGTAAATGTCTCCCACCCTAAATAAATTCACCTTTCTGTGAACCGCTCTCAGACCTCTGGGTATGGGTGGGGTATATAAATTCAATTAGTAATAATAATAATTTCTGCATCGTTTTCCTTAAAGAGCTGCTCCTTGCTCCTTGCATTGAATTGCATCGTGGCAACAGCTGAGAGCGTCCCAGAAGTGGCCCAGTTTACGCCTCCCCCCCCCTCCGTCCTTTCCACTGGCAGCGCAATGGACTCCGAGACCCCCTCTGAACGGCCTCTTCTCAGAGGTGGAGTGGAAGGAGGAGCCAGGCGGCTTCCTCAGGTAGGGAAAGAGCAACGGGAGCAGGGAGGAGGAAGAGGCACAGATGGGACCACCCAGCCTCCCTCTGTTGAGTGGGGATGATGGGGATCTAAGAGAAGCTCTGTCTTCTTTCTCTTCTTCTTCCAGGCCCTCTTGACCTTTGAGGAGGTGGCTGTGTTTTTCACAGAGGAGGAGTGGGCTCTGCTGGATCCAGGCCAAAGAGCTCTGCACAAGGAAGTCATGGAGGAGAATTATGAGATGGTGGCCTCTCTAGGTAAGGGCACATTTTTATTCCTCCTGGCTGTTAGACGTTGAAGGTGTGAAACTTTAGGTCAAATCCTGTATGTACTCAACTTTGCTTTCCCCTACTGGTGTGGTGCATCTTTATAGGCCCTGGTTACGTAATCCCTTCATTTGAGGTCATGGATACAGATGAATTTGAAACGGCTGGATGATGTGCCGCCAAAAGTAACTAATATTGTCTTTTTCCTTGGCAGAATCAGACCTCAGTTCCTGTTGGGAAGAGGGACAAGATCCATTTCTCCAGGATCCCAAAGAAGGGGAGATCTCAGAAGGTAGCTGCTTAGCTGTGTTGTGGGGCCCTTTTTTCCTCCAGAAAGAGAGGGAGCACAAGCCTGCTGCCTTTATGTCCTGATTCTGGGCTTCCTCTCACAGCATCTAGTTGGCTTCTGTAGGACTAAATAGACCAGGTGGGCAAATGCAGCCTTCAAACGCTCTCCCGCTGGCCCTTGGGGCTATCTTCTCCTCGGCCATCTCCATCCCCAGGCCATGACCCATTACCTTCCCTGCTTCACATCCTCCTTGAGTCCCTTTTTCCTGGTTGGGTTGTGTCCTTTAAATCTGCTTGCCTGATTGGAGGACAGTGGGTGGGTTTTGTAGCAACTCCGCTGCTCCCCGAAGGCGACATTGAATAATAATAATATTATTATTATTTATACCCCGCCCCTCCGGCTGGGTTTCCCTAGCCACCCTGACCAGCTTCCAGTACAGTGGTACCTCGGGTTACGAACTTAATTCGTTCTGGAGGTCCGTTCTTAACCCGAAACCGTTCTTAACCTGAGGTGCGCTTTCGCTAAGGGGGCCTCCCGTGCCGCCGCGGCAAAGTTCGTAATCTGAAGTACTTCTTCCGGGTTATCGGAGTTTGTAACCCGAAGCGTTTGTAACCCGAGGTACCACTGTACATATAAAAACATCATAAAACATCATAAAATGTTTTACATTTGTTGTTACACCCTCTTCCGCCCCTGGCCCCCACAGAGCATGAACATGCACACCTGAAGCTGCAAAAATTGACAATGTCTGGGAGGCCTTTGGCCTGGTCCAGTAGGACTATCCTTCAAAAGACCAGAGATGTCCTCCAGGCTTGAGTTTTCCCTTTCTTTGTGCTGAGATATGCCTCAAATTAAAATATCCTCTGTGGTGCCACCGAGCTGAGGTTAATGTACTTTGAGATTCTTTTCACAAGCGCCCATGTGCCCTTCTCATAGCTGTCAACATTTCCCTTTTTTTAAGGGAAATTACCTTATTCCAAATAGGATTCCTCGCAAGTAAAGGGGAAAGTTGACAGCTATGGCGCTTCTGCTATCCCTCAGCAGGAGGGCTAAGATCTTGCCTTTCCTTGCTTTTGGGAAGGGAGCCATGGCAGTAGTAGCAGTAGGAGAGTTGGGCATTTTGCACTCGGAATTTGCACTGCCCTCTTCCCAAACCAGACTTCATTGCTTGGGTGGAAAGAGAAGATCCAGTTGGATAGGGCTCTGAGAAAGGGGAGAGTTCAGCAGACACATCTGTGCTTAGTAACAGCATGTGGAACGTGGAACAGGAAGGGACACGTGGACTGTAGCATATTCTGAAGCTAACTTCAGATTCAGTTTTGCAGGAAGAGAAGGGACATGGTTGACAACAGTAAAATCAGAGAAGCAAAGAACTGGACTCAATGCATAATGAGCATGTCTCCTTCTACCATGCAGTGTGAATGATATTTTAATTTTCTCCCTCTACCTAAACAGGTGACAGGCAGAAGAGTGAGAATTATGGGGAGCCATTGATTGTGTCATCGGAAAATGTGGAGCCTGAAGCAGGGAAAAAGATGGAAAGGAAATCCTCTACTACGCAAGACATTGATATCCACGTCACCCTAAATCCACAGGAAGAATGCACAGGGAGCAGCAGTGTGGAGTGTGGAAAAAGCTTCAGTCAGAGTGGAAGTGTTAGTTTACATCAAAGAACCCAAACAGGGGAGAAAGCGTTTCAATGCACGGAGTGTGGAAAGAGCTTAAGTAGTGCTGGTAACCTGGTCAAGCATAAAAAAACCCACACAGGGGAGAAGCCATTCAAATGCATGGAGTGTGGAAAGAGCTTCAGCCAGAGCGGAAACCTTATTGCACATCAAAGAACCCACACAGGGGAGAAACCATTTACATGTATGGTATGTGGGAAGAGTTTCAGTCTTAATCACCATCTTACTTTACATCAAAGAACGCACACTGGGGAGAATCTGCATAAATGCATGGAGTGTGGAAAGAGCTTCTGTACCAGTAGTTTCCTTACTGCGCATCAGAGAACCCATACTGAGGAGAAACGATTTAAATCTATGGTGTGTGAAAATCGCTTCAGTCTTAATTACCGTTTTACTCTACATCAAAGGACCCCCGGTGTGGAGAAACCGCATAAATGCTTGGTGTGTGGAAAGAGCTTCAGTTGTAGGAGTAACCTTACTTTACATCAAAGAACCCACACTGGGGAGAAACCCTTCAAATGTACGGAGTGTGGAAAGAGCTTCAGCCAGAGCGGAAATCTTACTGCACATCAAAGAACCCACACAGCTGATAAACCATTTAAATGTATGGTATGTGGAAAGAGCTTCAGTTTCAATTACTCTCTCACTTTACATCAAAGAACCCACACCGGGGAGAAACCATTCAAATGCATGGAATGTGGAAAGAGCTTTCGTGCAAGTAGTGTGCTAATTGTGCATCAAAGAACCCACACTGGGGAGAAGCCATTTAAATGTATGGAGTGTGGAAAGAGCTTCAGGCAGAGTGGAAGACTGACTGCACATCAGAGAACGCACACTGGGGAGAAACCATTTAAATGTATGGAGTGTGGAAAGAGCTTCAGCCAGAGTGGAAACCTTACCACACATCAAAGAACCCACAAAACAGAGAAACCATTTAAATGTATGGAGTGTGGAAAGAGTTTCAGTCTTAATTACTATCTTACTTTACATCAGAAAACCCACACTGGTGAAAAACTTTTTGAATGCCTGGAGTGTGGAAAGAGCTTTAGTTGTAGGAGTGCTCTTACCGCACATCAAAAAACCCACACATTGGGGAAACCATATGAATGCATGGTGTGTAGAAAGAGCTTCAGGCGTATGAGTAACCTTAATTTACATCAAAGAACCCATACTGGGCAGAAACCATTTAAATGTAATGAATGTGGAATAAGCTTCAGCCAGGGTGGAAACCTTATTGCGCATCAAAGAACGCACACAGCGTAGAAACTGTTGTGAATCCCAGAGGTGGAGAAGCAGAGAAGACTAAGCTTAGCCACTAAGAAGAATAAGAAATGATCTCCCCATTCTGCCTAATATTTGGGTCGGCCTGGTTGTCATTTGGAGTGCGTTTCATTGTGAATCCAAGATGTGGAGAAAGAGAGGATGCAAAGTTTAGCCACTTGGTCAGGAGGTCAGTGAAAGGCATTGGTCTGCTGCCATCACCGTTTCTTTTCAGTAAAACAGAACTCCTTATCACCCATCAAGTAGGATGCTTCCTTGGGAAATGTAATAGAACTGGCTATGGCTTTCCGTGTAGAGAACCACATACCACTCCCTTCAATGTGTGTGTGTGTGTGTGTGCAAGATTATGAAACCTCAGATGCCGTAGCAGAGTGTCCCCAGCTGCCTTCAGCACAGTCTACTGCATCTCCCATACCACCAGGAAATTGGTCATTCTCTGGGCTACTCAATAGTACACTAGAAATACTATATTGTTTGTGGGTAGGCTATGATTAGTCCTGCTGCAAAGCGATAGCACTCTGTTTTATTTTGTAATCTGTTTAAGCTGTTTACTTGCTATCCCCTTAACTTTCATTCAAAATAAAGTTTCACAATCTGACCAGCTCTTCGCTTTGTCCTATCACTGAAGCTCTTCTGAGTACCAGCTTTTAGTCTACTCAGAAGAACAGTGAATATCAATTCTAGATTCAGGTAGGTAGCCGTGTTGGTCTGAGGCAGTCAAAATAAAAAATTAAAAAATAGTCCAGTAGCACCTTAGAGACCAACTATGATGAAAGGTGCTACTAGACTATTTTTTAATTTATTTTTTACTTTTTTATTTTGACTGAATGTCAATGTAAAGGATGCTCAGATTAAAACAGCTGTATGTGTAGCCTTCATATTACAACTATTGCCTTCTTTTCACATAAACAAATATCTCACAAATCATATTTCCTTTCATCCAAAAAGAGAAATCTACTTTTGGCCCTTGTGGAAATAACCAGTCATTTTGGATACATATCATAAAATTCTCCTCTTCAAAGGAGAGATGGGCCACCTTTGGAGCACTAACTCAGCCTTTTCTTGCTGAGAGAATCAGGCTTGTGACAAGGAAATTAGTCGTTTTTTCTTAAATCTGCAATTGGACAACTTGGAATTTTGCATTGATTTCTTAGAATATATTTTCTATATGTGTGTAAAAACAACCTTACATTTTTATCTTCTGTAATCCTGAACTGTCGTGAGATCTATGGATGAACAGCAGTATACTACTACTAGCATCTTAAATAAATAAACCTATTAACTAAGGTTATGTGACTGAAATCTTCACTGAAGCCTGTATATTCTGTGTGCTTCTATGGTGGGTGTAAACACCCCCCCCCAACTATTTCTGAAATAAAGTTGATACTTTAACCCAGGGGTCAGCAAACTTTTTCAGGACGGGGTTGGTCCACTGTCCCTCAGCCCTTGTGGGGGGCCGGACCCACTGCCACCCTAAAGCACCCCCCTCCCAAAAGGCCCCCCCACCTATGCCACTCATGCCGCAGCGGCTGACACTGCCTCATCTTCGGCAGCGTCGGCGTCCTCTGTCTCAGTGGGCCACAGAGCCCAAGCTGCTGGCCGCCTCAGCGGGAAGGAAGGGGCGGCACCCAGAGGCAGGAAACTCCTGCAGCCAATCAGAAGCCATGCAAGCATCACTGCCCACCCAGAGGCATACGCAGCTTTTGATTGGCTGCAGGAACTTCCTGCAGCCAATCAGAAGCCGTGCCGTGCCGCGTCACGGAAGTCAGTCTCCGCGCGGCGAGGCCTCTACGCCACACCTGTTTAGCGTGGTGACTGACCGAGTGGGCGGCAGGGTCCACAAGGTTCGTTGGCCGGATTAACGAGCCTGGTGGGCTGCATCCAGCCCGTGGGCCTTAGTTTGACGACCTCTGCTTTAACCAAATGATAAGGTGACACAGTGCTCTAAGTCACTTCTGTCACTGATTATAGAATTGGGAGGGACCCTGTGGTCATCTAGTCCAACTCCCTGCAATGCAGGAATCTTAACTAAAGCATCCCTGAGAGATGGCCCTTAACCTCTGCTCAGAAACTTCAAAAGAGTGTCCACAACCTTCTGAGGGAGTCTGTTCCACTGTCAAACAGCTCTTACTGCCAGAGTTTTTCCTGATGTTTAGTCAGAATCTCCTTTCTTGTAACTTGGAAGTCACAGGTGAAACGAAGACATGAGGCATGAGTTGGTAATGCAGGTGAGCTGTGCACAGGTAAGCTGCCAGCTAGCTCTGCCGAGGCTCTTTTTATTAGCACAATATGCAAAACCAGTCAGATACATTTTGGACTGTGACCTTTACACACCCCGAGATTGAGGGGTTGTACAAAGTTATTTTGGCATCTGTTTCCACCGCGTCATTCTCCCCTTGCACAATGTATAATGAAGGAGACAAAGGTCACAGACAGGGCACGGCAGACCACTGAGAAAGCCAAAGCTTAGATAGAGGGCATGATGTTCAGACAGCTGTGGTTTGTCTGCAGGTGGAAGTGTGTTCCACACCGAGCGGGTGGAAGTGTGCTCTTACCCTCCATCTTCCAAGGGGCAGCCTTTAGATATCTGAAGATGGGTCTCATATCTCTGCTTTTCTAAGCTAAATACAACCCACTCCCTCAACCGCTCCTCATAAGGCTTGGCCTTAAGATCCTTTAAAGTCTGCACATTTTCCAGCTTGTCAATACCCTCAAATTGTGGCACCAAGAACTAGACACCGTACTCCAGGTGCGGTCTGACCAAGGCAGAACACAGAGGGACTAGGACTTTTCTTGATCAGGACGCTAGACTTCTGTTGATGCATCCGAGAACAGCATTAGCTTTTTTTGCTGCTGCATCACACTGTTGACTCATGTTAAGCTTGTGCACTACGACCACTGGATCCTGTTCACGTGTGAAACTGGCAAGTTAAGATAGCCACGGGCAACTTACACCCTCCAATAGGGATGCCTCATTGCCCTCCGTATGGTTGCATCAGGAAGATTTTGGGCAACGTGTGACAGGACATTCTCAAACAAAGATGTGCTCTATCTTTTTATTTTCTTTGCCCATAGATCTCAAGGTGGTTCACAACATCATAATACAAGAAAGAAACACAAAATACATCATAAAAACAAGAGCAATAAACACCCCACTAACCAATAACCCTCCCTCCCCCCACCCCACTTAGGTCGCAGCACCGACTGCACTGGCTTGGTCATGTACACAGAATTGAAGATGTTAGGATCCGCAAGGATGGGGCTCTATGGGGAACTGGCTTCAGGCACGACGCCTGTTGGAAGTTCACAACAGTTCGCAGTACATGTGTATACAGTGGTACCTTGGTTTTCGAACGTAATCTGTTCCGGGAAAGCATTCGAGTTCTGAAACGTTCAAAAACCGAAAACTCAGTAGCTGACCGCTAGGCCTCAGGATTTTGCACTCAGCAGAAGCCGTGTGGCATGTTTCGACTTCCGAGGCATGTTCAAAACCAAAGCATTTACTTCCAGGTTTGCAGCATTTGAAAACCGAAATGTTCGTCAATGGAGATGTTCAAAAGCCCAGGTACCACTTGGTTACAGTGGTACCTAGGTTCTTGAACTTAATCCGTTCTGGCAGTCCGTTTGACTCTCGAAACCGTTCAAAAACCAAGACGTGGCTTCTGATTGGCTGCAGGAGCTTCAGATGTTTGGCTTCCAAAAAACTTTTGCAAACCGGAACACTTCCAGGTTTGTGGCGTCCAGGAGCCTATTCGGCAACCAAACCATTCGGGAACCAAGGTACTGCTGTATTACGTTTTGATGCTGATGGACCACATCCCAGCTTGTAACTCATTCCGACACTCTCTGCAAAAAAAGAAGCATTGCAGAAATGCTTCAAACATATAAATGATAACTAATTACTTTTTCCATAGGATCCTTCACCCATATTTCTTCATGACAACAATCATTCAGTGAAGCAGTGGGGAAAGCACATAAAAGTGAAAGCCTGTGAGAGGAACGTTTTTGGCAACTTTTACGAAAGGAGATTCCAGAAATGAGGAGCCACTTTGGAGAAGGTCTCTCCCAGGGAGGGAGGGGGCTAGGCCCACTTTTTCCTCTTAAAATGGTTTTCTGCCTTCCTCCTGGGTGCGTTTGCTTGGAAGTAAGGCCACAAGATATCGTGGCACTGATGCCAGAACAAAAATTAAAAGAAAGAGGATGTTGCGGGGGTCCCCCCGCCAGCATTAAGGAAGAAAGGAGTGGATGGGAGGGGGCAAGACAAGATGGGTGAAGGGGGGGTGAAGAGAAAAATTAATCAAAAATAAAAAGCAAACGGGATGAGGAAGATGAAGGCTGCCTGTTTTGTCTCTTCACGCCACTTGCCATATTAAAAGTCCAACGGGGAGAGCTGGGTGAGGGGCAACAAAGGAGAGAAGGGGGGAAATGGATCAGGCTGGCTGGCTTTCTTTCTCTCTCTTTATTTGATTTTATTTGATTTTCCAAATAAAAATTTATAGCAAAACCGAATACATATCCATACAGAGAGATTTTTTTTTTTTTGAATCTCAATACTTCCCCCCATCACCTCCATGGTGGTCCTATTGTCAACATTTTCAACTGCATATCATTTCATAGTCTATGTTTCATATCTATCCATATTGTCCATAGTATTTGTTACATTACAAATGAGATTAAAATCCTGCTAATGTTTTCTTCTGGTTACGGTAGTCTCTTAAGTAAATTATAAATTTCCCCCGTTCTTTCTTGAAGTTTTTGTCATTTTGGTCCCTGACAGTTCCGGTCAGTTTTGCCATTTCAGTGTATTCTAACAGCTTGGTTTGCCATTTCTCTCTAGAAGGGACTGTTTCTTCTTTCCATCTCTGGGCTAATAGCATCCATGCTGCTGTTATCGCATACATGAAGAGCCTTTTCTGTTCCTTTGGAATGTTAGTACCTACAATTCCTAATAAGAAGGCTTCTGGTTTTACAAAAGTTATTTTAAACATTTTTTTCATTATATATCATTTCCCAGAAAGACTTTATTACCTTACACAACCACCACATATGATAAAAGGTACCTTTCTTATTTACACTCCCAGCACATATTTGTACTTGTTCTATACATTTTTGGTAGCTTAAAGGTAAAGGGACCCCTGACCATTAGGTCCAGTCGCGGACAACTCTGGCATTGTGGCGCTCATCTTACTGGCCGAGGGAGCCAGCGTACAGCTTCCAGGTCATGTGGCCAGCATAACTAAGCTGCTTCTGGTGAACCAGAGCAGCGCACAGAAACGCCTTTTACCTTCCTGCCAGAGCGATACCTCTTTATCTACTTGACGTGCTTTCGAACTGCTAGGTTGGCAGGAGCTGGGACTGAGCAACGGAAGCTCACCCCATCGCGGGAATTTGAACCGCCAACCTTCTGATTGGCAAGCCCTAGGCTCTGTGGTTTAGACCACAGTGCCACCCACATCCCTTTTGGGTAGCTTAAAGGTAAAGGTAAAGGTACCCCTGCCCATACGGGCCAGTCTTGCCAGACTCTAGGGTTGTGCGCTCATCTCACTCTAGAGGCCGGGAGCCAGCGCTGTCCGCAGACACTTCCGGGTCACGTGGCCAGCGTGACAAGCTGCATCTGGCGAGCCAGCACAGCACACGGAACGCCGTTTACCTTCCCGCTGGTAAGCGGTCCCTATTTATCTACTTGCACCCGGAGGTACTTTCAAACTGCTAGGTTGGCAGGCGCTGTGACTGAAAGACGGAAGCGCACCCTGCCGCGGGGGTTCGAACCGCCGACCATGCGATCGGCAAGCCCTAGGCACTGAGGTTTTACCCATAGCGCCACCCGCGTCCCTTTTGGTAGCTTACTAAGAATCAAATACCACAGGTACATCATTCTCATATAATTTTCTTTCAGTGTCAACATGCCATGAATTTCAGATCTGTTTTCCATAATCTTTCCCAAAATGCAATCTTAATGTTATGTCTCTCTCTCCCCTTCCTTCCTTCCTCTCTCTGTCTCTCTCCTCAGCCCACCATCATTCACATCAGCAGATTTACACACACACCCCTATCTAACAGTACATTACATATTATTAAACTTATTGTTGTGAGACATTACTTTCATTATTTTAACACATATATGTATAGCTTTACATGGAAACACCAAATACATCAAATACACCATCTATTTCCCCCTATAGGAGTCCGTGATGTCATGGGGAAAGCGAACTCTGAGGGTAATACTCTCCACACTCCATACAACTAGAATGTTTTTCCCGCATGAGAGGGCAGGGGGTGTTTCGTAA